TGGCTGCATGTGCGAAGGGGCTGCTGGCAGCTCCTGATTGGACCGAGGTCTAGTGGTCCATCTGCGAGGCTCGGAGGCTAAGGCGGTGCGAGGCTCGGTCCAGCTGCGAGCTTCGGATTGGGCCTCCCTTCGGTCGAATCAGAATCCGACACGCAACTACTGTTCATGCGAGGGAAGGCGACACGTGGCTTCGCATGACTCACCAATTTCGGACACGTGGCACTCTTTCAGCGAAGGTGACGTGGCAAAAACATGACTATGCGAATTTTCTCGGTTTTCGCGCCAAAACTTCTAAAATCCATAACTTTCGCATACGAGCTCCATTTTAGACGTTCTTTATATGCACGCGTAGGTAAAATTACGCTCTACAACTTTCGTTTGGACTTCGTCGGCTAATTTTGACTTTAATTTTTATATTATTATTTTTAACAGACCGGGACAGGAAATCCGTTAAAAATTCATAACTTCTTCATCCGACGTCCGTTTTCGTCAGACTTTTTACCGTTGTGCTACTAATGATAAGATCTTCGATTCTCGTTTAGGTCGTGTCGGCTAAAAATCACTCGATCTAAAATTCGAGTTTTTAGCTATCTACTACTAAGCTGAAACTTCGAAAAATCATAACTTCCTCATACGAAGTCAAATTTGGGCGTTCTTTTTATCGAACTTCTCGGTTTAGCGAATACTACGAGTTTCGTTTAGATCACTAAGGCTAAAAAGTAGTTTATCAAAAACTCACTTTTTACGACATTCGGCACCGTGCCGGTTTGTCGCGAAACTTCGACAGGTCATAACTTCTTCGTTATAACTCGGATTTCGGCATTCTTTATATATCCGTAATCCTTGTCACGACTACTACAACTTTGTCAATAAATATCGGCTTTATCTAATATTTATTTTCGACGCTCATTTTTAATCTTAATTAATTAAATCCTAATAATTAAGCATAAAACACATAATTTTCACATAATTCCTTTTCATTTCTCCAAAATGAGTCACAAAGGTTAACCTAGACTATCATGTCAATATTAATGTCTAGCCTAGAAACACGGGCATTACAACAACATCGGAAAGGGTCCGAGCTGACTTGGGAGCCGGAGTTGGAGATGCGCGAACATCATCCAGAGTTGTTTACTGAGCAAGACTTCGAGGGCGAAGTATGATTCTAGTGGGGGGGAGAAATGTAACATCTGGATTCCCAGGTATCTTATTTTTAAGTATTTACCTTGAGTTTTAGGGAGGGACTCGGCGAGTAGGCGCTCAGACTCGCCGAGTAGGATCGCGAATCCTTGTCTGGATTAATGAGGGACTCGACGAGTCGATGCGTGGACTCGGCGAGTCTGCGCTGTAAAGTGAAACCCTAAATCTCAGGGCCTGAGCCCTATTTAAAGGCCTTTATGGCCTCCATTTGCGGCTACCAGTCCAGAGAGAGATACCCTAGCGATTGTGAGCGAGTTGTGAGAGAGTTTGAGCCTTTTTGATCATTTTTGGTGTGATTTTGCAAAGGAGAAAGTGTTTCAAGCAAGGGGAGGTCAAGAGGATTGCATTTCAATGGGTTTTCGACTTGGATCTTCAAGTTTGAGGTAGCTATTTGATCCTATCCTTCTGTTTTTGCTTAAGGGCATTGAATTTAGGGTTTTCTATACCCTTTTATGGCTTGTTTAGTTGTGTATAGTGTCCCATTGAGTGCTAAACTCTAGATCTGGACCTTTTGAGGTCCAGAGAGCCTGAACCATGCTGCTTTTTGTGGTTCTATGGAGTAATGGGACATAGGTTGCCATGTTAGAAGGGATTTCACCAAAATAAGCATTGGGAGCATTGCATGTGTAGCAAGATTCGACCTTTACGTGTTTATTGGTCATGGGGAAGTCAGATCTATAGATTAGAGAAGCAGATCTGACCTCAAGAGGTCAGATGAGTGTTGTCATGGGAGGAACTCGCCGAGCCCATAAGGGACTCGACGAGTCGAGTCGGGTTGCCCCGCAACTCGCGACCTGTGACGACCCGTGGGGTATAGGGTTGACTCAGCGAGTCAAGTGAGGACCAGGGGCGAAGAGGACAAGCATGTACTCGCCGAGTCACTCTAGTGCACTCGGCGAGTCCGGTCAATGTTGACCGTTGACTTTTGTTGACTTTTAGGGTTTAGTTAGTGTTTGGACTTATGAGCCATTAGAGGGGTAGAATGGTCTTTTACCCTTCTTAGAGAACTTATAGAGAAGGGTTGGCCTAGCCTTTAGAAGTTGTATTAATTAGAGTAATTATTTATATGATTAGGGGAAGGCTAGTGCAGTATTTCAGAGCTCGAGGTTTACCGAGTTACCCGAGGTGAGTCTTCTCACTGTACTTTACCTAGAGTGGTAATTAGAGTTATGTGACAGAGTATCTTGTATGCTATTTATGTGATTGTGATACACTGCATTATTTCTAAGTGATTCATGCCGTGTATGTTCCAGAGTTACAGAGTTAGAACCGGAAGGTCCACAGAGTTAGGACCGGAGGGTCCACAAAGTTAGGACCGGAGGGTCCACAGAGTTATAGCCTCGAGTGGCTAATATGTGTTATATGTGGTATTTTGGGGAACTCACTAAGCATTTATGTTTACAGTGTTTTGTGTTATGTGTTTCAGGTACCAGTGAGGATCGCGGGAAGGCGCCGGCATGATCAGTACACACTATTGGAGTTTTATACATTTTGATATTGGGATGTGTTTTTATGGATTTGATATGTGATACATTGAGATTTGAGAATATGTATGAATGAGATTATATTTTTTAAAAGTGAAAAATTGTTTGAAAAATTACGGTGTTACAACTACTCTTCCAACTGGATATACTACAATTAAATGCCATACCTATTTATTATTTGAGACATTAATTAATTTGAGTCAAGATTTTTTTTTCTGATTTACATATGCTACAAATTTTGAAATGATTCACGATATTTTTAAACCATAGATCGCTAACTTTACATATTAATCCCTCCTATAAAACAAAACAGAACACAAAGAACTATTATATTATACCATAACTCAAACAACTTTTGTTAATTAGAAGAGCAGAATCACAATCAAAACAACAAAATAGAGCAATGAGATAAATTATTTTGATGAGTTATAGAACCCTAGATCACAAATTAGAGGAATTCTCCCAAAACAACACACAAATGAACATATTTCAAACAGATTCAGGAGAAGTCTCATGAAGAAAAAATTTGTATCTTGTATATTAAAAACTAGTTGTTGAAAAATTCAAACCTCTGTTTGGCTGTTGAAGACGTCATTTCTTCTTGTTGTTCTTGATTATGACCAAAAACTCTCTGAATGCTCCAGTTATCCTATCGTATAGCCATAAAACAAGATGTGTTAAATGATATTAATTTCACAAATTTAGAATCAATACATGTGTTGATATAGTTAATTGACCACATAGAAGTTCTCGCTCTTTTGGAGCACCTTCTCTTCGCATAAATGTTCCTGGAATCACTCCTTGAGCAAATTGTTTCTCTTGATAATTGAACTAAATCAGAAATTAAAATGAAAGCCTCTGTCAAAAAGTTATACAATTGGAAAAAAGAATACAAACGAAATGGAATGAAATATACGTACAGTGAGAGACAAATTAAACGGAACTGTAGAATTTCATACCATAATTGCAGGTGAAGCAACGTGTTTACGGAGACAGATCCAATGGGAAAGCCGATAGAATTAAAGAATTACAGGCGAAAAGCATTTCTAAGTACAATATATGTCATCATGAAACACAAAATTGGTCATAGATCAACTGAAAATATAAAAAACCTAAACTCAACCGTATAGAAAAAAAATCAATTAAAAAGGAAAATAAAACCTGGAGAGAAAATAAAAGCTATATATTATAGAGATTAAGAGATAACGAAGAATACTTTAGAGGAATTAGTAGCGATCACAGAATCTGAGTGACTTCCGTTGGAATTTTCCTGATTTGTGTAATCTTCGTAAGAGCAAAGAATGTCGTCGGATGCAAAATCGAATCCCTTGGACGATCCAGAATCCATAAAGCAAAAAAAAAATCGGTTGAAATCGGCAATACGGAGTAAGATAATCGGGAGAAATGGATCTTTTTCAGGGTGAAGATTATACGGAAAATCAAAATAAAGGATTATGGTTTGTGTGTGTGTATGTATATATATATATATATATATATATATATATATATATATATATATATATATATATATCGAGAGAGAGAGAGAGAGAGAGAGAGAGAGAGAGAGAGAGAGAGAGAGAGAGAGAGAGAGAGAGAGAGAGAGAGAGACGTTCAACACCTTTAAGGTTTTAGTTCCAATAACACCCCTGCATCAAAGAAATGAAGATACCCCCGTGTGTTATTTTCTCATTTATTTACAAAACTGCCATAAGAGATCTCAGCCCTTTATTTTTTTAATCTTATGGTGTAGAATTAGTTCTTAGGTTCTCGAGAAACTATTAGTTCTCTCTCTCTCTCTCTCTCTCTCTATATATATATATATATATATATATATATATATATATATATATATATGATTTTATTATTTAAAAAATTATAAACTAATTCCCCTCCCCTCGCACCACCATCAGCTTGTCGCCTCCCTCCATCTATTATCACCATCATCGCTACCCTCTCCACCATCTTAACCCCACCTTCATCCACCTTAAACCCACCATAAGCAATACAACGAACACCCCATCCCACCCCTGTAAAACTGAAAAAAGTTCAAAAATTATACCTTACCTTATTAGACTTAACAAAAAAAAAGCTAAACAACTTAGAGTTAAGGACCATCCTTTAAAAGTTTTGAAACCATAAAAACCAATGTTGATGACCTAAAAAGTTAAAAGGATTAAACTCAAATTTTTTTGGAAACCATAGGAACCATTTTTGAAGATTTGTCTATTTCTAATAATAACAATAATAATAATAATAATAATAATACAACACCGAAAATCATTAAATACAAATTGTGTTTAAAAAAGTCAAATATTGACACACAAAATGTTTGTCATAATATTTAGTCATTATACAATAATCCATTGTACACAATAACATCATATGTCATACTAATTAAGAAACATTTCAAATTAAGTTATCAAAAATCTTGTTTGTCGACACAAAATATCACCGGAAAATAAAATTCGTCACAAAATACGCCCATTCTTCGCGAAGTTCATCAATATCAGCATCCGTGTACATATCCTTGCCGCCCCCAACCTGTAAACAAATCAAATTTGTATCTCACTGTAACGAGGGAATAGCATGCAAGACTATATATACTATTCATCAATTTGACAAAGTTTTTATACACTTAGTTTATTTTATTATGAATAACTCGTATATTTAACAAATAAACATAAAATGATCATTTCAATTCCTTTCTTATTAGAGCATCGTCATTTCAAATAAACGAAAGTACATTGTTGTTTCTTGCATGTATCCTAGTGTTTAGTAAGTAGGATGCTATATTCAACAAATAAACATAAAATGATCATTTCGATTCCGTTCTTATTAAAACATTATACTTTCAAATAAATGAAAATACATTGTTGTTTCTTGCATGTAACCTACTGTTTCAATTATAGCAGTGACAGTATGATGTTATAATTAACACATCATTATTTGCATTATAGCATATGTGTAAGTAGGATGCTATAATTAACAAATCAATAATTTAATAACGATACAAAAAGTTTACTTACATTTTTATTGATCAACACTTCAACTCCTTCCTCAACTATCTCTTTCATGAACTTTAACATATAGAAGCCACATTCAGTACCTCCCGGCTGACGAGGACACTACATAATTACATAATAAATGATGTGTCAAAATGAAGTTAAACCTGCAATTTCAATAATGACTTAAGTACTCACCGTAACATTGATCCAGTTGAGTTTAACCTTTTTATTGGATCCACTTTGTGTAGCGTACAAGACCATTGCCCTATAAAAAAAATGATGAAATATATCAAACAATATAATATAATGTTTCAATAATTTATATTACTTACGCTTCAATAATGTTCTTCAACTGCGAATTGACATTGTTGGGCCTCAGGGAATCAAGATAATAGCAAGTAGCTGTTTTCATGTCAAGTACGGCCAACACCCAATGTCTTCTATACAAACCAAAAACCAAATTAAGTAAAAAAGGTATTAGTTACTAAAATGGATTGGTAATTATTGTATTCATAATCAAATGGAAAACCAAACCCAGGATTGTAGGGCAATAGGATGAGGTCATTGTCCTTTCTTGTAGACAACCGATCTGCAACGCTTTTACTTGCATCAGCGATATTTTTCAATTTGTCTTTACGTGCGCGTGGCGAGATTGCAGTCGGGCTCACAAAACAAATTCCATGATCACTTTTTGGCCCATTCTTGATTTGCTCAAACAAGTACCTGTTAACGTACAAAAACAAAATTGATTAAAGTAAACTGTGTTATACGAAAAGTTATTTAAATTAAATTTAAGCACTTACATCATATAACAAGTAATAACAACACCGGTCAGCTCATCCAATGTAAAAACCACTTCAAAATCTTCATAAGATAAGTACGTGTAACTCTCGTATCCAAATAGATCGTCCTCACACTGCACTTTTATAGACTCTGCCTTTAAAACTTGTGCATCAACCATACGTGCAGTCATTTTCAAAACACGATTATTTTCAATTCTTATCCTTGTCCTCATCTGTGCTCTCGTCCTCCTCCTTGGCGAGATCTCCGTTTCTTTTCCTTTCTCCTTTACCTCATCTGACTCTCTTTGCCGTTTTTCTTCTTTTTTACCCTCTAATTCTTCTTTTACAAGTTTTCCATGTTTTTCCATTGGTTTCCCCACCACTTTTTCCTATAAAAAAAATATAAATAAATGCTTCAAATTAAACCCATATAAATACTTTAAATGAATGAAAATAATATTACCAAATCAGAGCATCGAATGACTAGATATCTCGGCCAGCTCAGTATGTGCCCAACTGCATCTTTGACCTTCACAATGAACTCCTCTTCCAGTGGAACCGGTAGTAAAGCTTCTCCTTGTACAGATGTTTCCATCATAACTTGAATGTTTTCATCTGTAATATGAATGAAGGTAAAACTAAGATCCAATTTTCTAAACAACGTAAAAATAAGAAAATAAACTAATAACTATAAAGCAAATATTTTTCGTAATGTAATACCCGAGACACTGTCCTTGGTTATGGTTCCTTTAGCAACTATATTTGTGGCAACATCAAGCGCAAGATAACAAGAATTATCCTACAAACATATAATATGTTAGTTGCAATTAAGTCTTAGTTTTAAAATATAAAGCAAGCAATTTAAAAAGAAACATACAAGTGGTTGGTCTTGTAAATCTTCATTGCCCCACATTTGGCGACTTGCGCCTTCAGAAACAGGATTGACACCTCTTTTTTTAAGTTTCTCTACCTCACCTTCAAGCTTGTTGAAGCGTTGATCCAACTTCTTGTTCTCAAGGTCCAAGTATTGCTTAACAGTTTTGGGTAATAAAAAATATTGGTGTGGTGCTACATATTTACCCATCCCACGTACACGCCCACGGTTTTCTTGAGTACCTAGTGCTTGTGTAAGCACATCATTTGTTCCATATGTAACCTCTCCACAACTTTCCGAATTCTGCAGCTTATCCTGTAATGTAATTCGGATACAATTAAAGATTATCATACTTTACAGTTTAAAACACATTCTAAAAAGAAAGGTGAAAGCTATCATACAATATACTTTTTATATATATCATCCACAGAATTTTTTTTGTAATAAATTGTTTCCTTGGAGAAGATGCTACAATCAGATCAAGTAAACAATTTTTTTTTTTTTTTTTTTTAATATACAGGGATCAAAAATGTATTTTGCAACATAAAATCCCATTGCTAACAGGTTGGAGGGTAGAGGCATACAAACAAAGGTCAAGTATGTTGTTATTGCCTAAACTTTTAAATTTTAATGGGACAGATTATGAACTTTTGTTGCATGCTAATTTGCTATTGTTGATGATTCTGAGCTTTTAAAAGAAAATGGATAGATATTGAGTTTTACTGGAAACGTAAGTACATAGTATGGTGCTTATAAGACTCAAACTGTTGATTGATTCTATTTTGGCATTTTATATTGTATAGGGCATATAAAAAACCCTAGAAATAGGGGCCAAACTATTCCATCTTGCACCTAAACCAAAGAAAATCACCAACCTGACCAAACTAACAAGGTTTTTTAAAAATATTTAAATATGTTGTGTTGTGTTGTGTGTGTGATGCTTATAAGTAGGATGCTATAACTTTGATCTTTGCTGTGTGGACATGGATACAGTCCCTGTACACAACAAAAATAACAGAAATGGTCCAATTGTAGTTTTAAAGTGTCCTAAAACACCCTTGTGATTTTTTTCACTGTCTGGAGTAGGTGTATAAACAAATAGCATGATATACGAATGAATTTAAAATCTAAATAGAATAAACTTACCATTTTATCAACAATCACCTTGACGTCAGGGTCGTAACCTCCTTCTTTTGTTTCTCTTGCTTTTTTCCACAACATTGTTCTATCAATCTCCTCTTCTGTCTTCCCCGTTTGTTGCATCTAAATTATCAAGAATAACATATGATATGTGAATTAACATAAACAGATACAAGTATAAACTATTCGATTAATTTAATTCATACAATCTCAACAACGAGTCTGGCATATCCTTTTCTGCTCAAACGATGATTGTATTTATGATGTGCACGGACTTTTTTAGCGTCATTACTTTTTTCCTGCATTAGAAACATTAAAATTGTGATGCATGTTTTTAAAACTCAATGAACATTGGACAAATACAGACACAAAAAGTTTAACAAACCTCCCACTTGTCCGAAAGTCTTTGTTCTACAAAAAGTTTCCAGTCTTCTTTCTTCAAGAATGGATACTTATCGGGAGGATTGAGTAAATTCGCCTCAGGGTCATTTTTATATTCCTTAATGTATTTATCATATAGATGATGTTTGAAGTTTCTCCACTTTTTCCCAAGCGATTGGAGAGTGTGCTTCCGACTTTTTGGGTCAAGTACAAAATTCATCTGAAACATAAAACTTAAAACAATATTATTTTCAACAAAAAACAAGATAATTATAAGTCAAGATCAGATGCTATGTTAGACTTACCAAAACACATTGCCATAACTCTTCCTTTGTTTCCTTACTAACATCCTTCCAAGAGGCATATGTTATGGGCACCATTGTTCTTGCTACGAAGCCCTCAAAAGTAGCGAGTTTTGCTGCTTCATCTCCAATTGGTACACCTTTTTTATTGTAGGTAATTACTATTTTCTCTTTAATAGCTTTTAATTTTATCATCAGAGCTCTTTGTTTGGAGTCTTCATCATGATCCGAAGAACCTGATTCCATGTCACGAAAAGCAACCTGTTTCAACATGTGTTGATTCAAATAGCATAGTTAGTTACAGTATACTCATGCTTTACTTAAGCATATGTTATGTTTATTTCATACATCATACACCCTTGTTCATACTATAGAAAGATCTAAAGCTTGTATTTATGTATGAACACAAGCGAAATATAATTAGTCATAGTTACAAAGGAATGGTGGCATTACTTTTCCAATACTCAGATAAAGATGAAAGATATAATTTTCTTTTCTCTCAACATTTCAAACGGATTGGATGTCAGGTGTCAGATATATTGGCTTTCATGTTGTTAGTTATATTTTATCATGTTTGTGCTATTTGAGCATTTACACCCCTTTAATTAGTTTACAAAAAAGATTTTAGTTATACCATCATTATCATATACATATTTTAAAACTTTTTGAATTTTCATTTGCACTTTTTCAATGTAAGTACATATAAGGTTTTAGCTATGTCACTTTTTCTATCTTATACTTTATAGTTTCAGTATGTTTACGTAATTTATCAAAAAATATATAACAGAAAGCATGTCTTAATTTTATTTATATATATTTTTACAAAGAACTCATCGATATCTAGAAAGAGCGATAATAAAATAAAATACGACATACATAAGACAACATACATAGTTGATGAAGTGTACTCAGTGTTTTTCCTTTTTTTATTATGACACTAAAACATGACACACATTTTTGTATGTCATAAAATTAGTGTGTGGAATAGTTCGTATGTCATTAAAGGCCTATAATCTGCTACTTGACTGAATTTTATCCTAGCACAAGTAGCTTTCAATTTGGTAGAAGTATTCTGGAAAATTGGAGATAAAGTATACATCACTGACATACTTTTACTTTCATTTATTTGTTTATGATAGCATACTTGGCTTTCATTTCTTTCTATCACAACATTTTTCTGACAAAAAAAAAACTACCAAATTATAGCATTGTACTTTTTTTCTTTTTAGGACATCATACTTTGAAAAATCCACATGTTGCTTTGTATTTGGATGGCATAACTATAAGTAACTAGGTTGATTTCTGAGACTACAATGTTGTAATAAGAGTAAATAAAAGTGGGATGCTATTATAAACAAATCAATGAAAGTACGTTGCAATTAACCCAATCTTTAAATTCATGGAATATGACACAAACCTGCGATTTCTCGGAGCTCCACTGAGAAACAAGGGCCAACCACTGATCAGGTGGGACCCGCTCATCACGGTCTGCAAGGCGATCTTCATCAGTCTCGTGAACATCATAATGATTAGCCTTAAGGTGGGACTTGAAGCTCCTCCAATTTTTCTTAATGGACAACATCACCCATCTTCGACAATCGGGGTCAATATCAAACTTGGTCTACAATAATAATAATTATAATATATCATTTAAAATCACCAAAATAAGATAAGAAAAAAAATGTGAAAAGGTTTCTTTAGTTTAGATTACCCTACCAGAACTTCCTGCCACATGTTGTCTTTGTTCTCTTGTGGGATTTTCTTCCAATCATAATAAGTAAGGGGAGCAAAGTTCACATCACATGCAATGACACCCAACAAACTGGTTAATTGGGCTGCCCCAGGACCCACGGGCTTCCCACGTTTATTGGTTCTGATTTTTATCCGTTTCATTGTGTTGACTAATTCAGGGGAAGGGGTGGGTCCTTGAAATCGGCGCTTCTTTTTAACAACTGCAGATTCTGATTTTCAGCCAATTATAGTTATAACCAAGTTACACATATGCTTTATTTATTATAAAAGATAATGAATTTTGTAGATATGTAACAAGGATTAGGTACCAGGGTTAGGCTCATCTTCTTCTGTTGAAGATGAAGATTGTGGCTGGTTGGAGTTCTGATGGGGTTGACCAGTCTCCTTTTGCTGCAAATGAGCAGAATTATTGGCAACTGAAGTTTGTGGCTTGTCTTTCTCTTCTTCTTTGTGCCTCAAGACAGAAGACTCTGCTCATCAAAAAGCGGAACCTTGATCAAAAATGGCGTCTTGCAAGTGTTTATATCATCTCAAAAAACCAAAAAGCTTACAAATTTGTAATTGGTTATATAAGGTAAACATGGTTTTGAAGTTTTCATGGTCTACAAAACTAGTTTTACAAAAAGTAATAAAGAAAAAGAAAAAGAAGTCTTGTCAAACATGTTTCAGTTGTGTTGTGAAACAAAATGAAGAAAATGCCAATAGAAAAAGTATTACCAAACGACGGTTAAAGATCCTATGTTTGGAATATATAATCTTATTTTGCTAATGAAAGACACCCATAAATACCATAGGAAGAAATATAAAACTATAGACTTCATTATCATGACCATGGTAACTTCTGCATTCATAAAAATATAAAAAGAAAAGGTAGAAAAAAACAAGCAAAGTAATATAAATACATGGAATAAAGAAGGATAACAAAGTGGCCCTTACCAACAACAGGCGGTGATTTTTTGCTTTGTAATTTGGCTGATTTCCAGTACTTCATGAAGTATGCCTTCACCCTCTTCATGAGCTCCAATATAACATCACCCTTCTTATTATACTTGACACAATTAGACCAAATATATTCTACATCCTTAAACACATCTCCTGAATTCATGTACTTTACGCCATTCTCAAGGTTGTTGCATATCGTACCAAAATCCATAGGTGTCTTGATAACATCAAAGTAATCCTGGTTCAACCTCCACCCAAATCATTATATGATAAAAGAATGCATAACAAAAACAATGATTCTATAAATACGAAAGAAGAAAACATCACTAGACACTGTTAACAAAAGCATGTATTTACAGAAAGAATTTGAAGAGAAATGCTTACAGGAATTCCAAGTGCAACGGGATCTACAGGTTTGTTAAATGGTTCGGCTGCATTCAATTTCATGGTCCTTCTGATTACCTAGTGTAGAAAAATAACATCTATATGAGTTTGTACAAATAAGACTAATGTACGCTATATGATATAATAAACCATACTCTTAATGCAGCATTCAGTTCTTCCTGTTATATTCTGGATTTTGATGATGTTGGCTTTCGTTTTCCTCATGATCCATGTCAGCATGAGGTTGCTTCATCTGTCCATTGCTGACTGAGTTACCAACCAAGCTCCTTGAAAGGTTAGCTAGGCCACCAGCATCTTTGGTAATCTCTTTAATAACACTTGCAATGATTTGACTCAATGCATTTGGATGACTTAGCATCTCCCCATAACCAGTTTTTTCTATCTCTGAATCTTCTTGTGTGCCCCTCTTGATGGTAGTACTAGTACTTGGATTTACAGTTTCCACGCGCAGTGGTGTAGCATCTTCAGGTTCTTCTGATTCAACATTCATCACATGATTTTCTGCCACTAGAGCAGCACTATTTTGGAGTGGCTTCTTTGCCACTGGCATTTTAAGTTTGTCCTTCTTAGCTGCACGTTTCCGCTTCATTGTTATGTGCCTATAAGCAAAGTTGAATAAGCAGAAATTAAATTTAATGACATTACAATAAATATGATTAGCTAAGCTACCAGGCGAAGATACAAGACTGGATTTATGAGAAAACTAAAACCAATGAACACAGAGAAGATATCATGAAAAAATTCCAACTCCTTGCTGCCAATTGCCAAGAACATTACAAGAATCGAGCTCATTACACAGATCAGTACTACTGAGCTTCCAATTAAATGAAGTTTTTATCATAATGTTTTATCAATCCCTTTTCTCCAGTCAGCTATTGATGCAAACAACACACCGACTAACCCAATCTTAGGGTTTGGGGGTATTCACAACGATATAACTTCGTGTCAAAGCAATTCCCTAACATACATTCCCACTTAAAGGTAGAAAAGGGTACATGCAATTAACATTAAGCTACTGAACGTTATCTCGTATGAGAAACTAAACAAAACAAAACTTAGCAATTTGATGAAAAGGAGGCATAAACGATCGATAATGGTACAAATTGAGTAGGGGTGATGATAACGCTAGTAGATTGTAAGCTTAAGAAGTAGACAATGAAGTGTTTACCTGTTCTAGGGTTTTCTACTTGTATCGGCGACCTGGAGAGAATGTCAAGAAATGAGGAAAGTATGCTGAAACGCTGCTAAAATTATTAGCGCACTTCTAACACCTATCATCGTTACTTAAGTTTTTGTCGAAATTAAACAATATCTACAATGAAAAAATATACAGCATTTAATATGATATACGCTTTATTAAAAGGTACATAAATGATCATGACATTTGTCTATCACAAATTTACGACATATATATGATCATGACATTTGTTTATCACAATTTTACAACATATATTTAAGATAGACATTTACAACATCTAATTACGACTAAATATTTATGATAGACATTTTGTAAGGGTGTAGTGTTTTATTTTCTTGACAAAATTGCAAAAATATCCATGTGGTATACATTTTTTCTAAGGTTAGTTTAAACCTCAACTTTTTTGGGTTGGTGATCATTTTGAGTTAGTTTATTTGCAGTTTTGGTTTCTGTCCAAACTAAAAAGACTATTATATCTTTAATGAATTTAGTTTTCATTTTTCTTTCACTTTTTAAAATTATTATTATTATTAAATATAAAACTAGGCTCACATATTCACCCTTTGTGTGTGTGAACGAACTCTTCCTTCCCCAACCTCCATCTAACATGCCTTGTCACCCCTATCTGTTAGAGAAATCAACAATCTCAAATCAAACGATCAAGAAAACAATAAACCAAAATACCCACCGATGGATTTTCCCAGTTCAACAGGTCACCCCCACGCCAGTAAAACCAAGCATTTAGGAGGACCCTCAATCATACTTCCCCAACAACCATCATACACCTATTTTCTAAGAGAGGCATTACATCGAACATTTGGTAGGCAGAAAATCAATATATGTCATTTTAGTTACAATACTGATATACCCATAGCCATTGACCTTCAACCCTATAACAACAACCTCTGCCTTTAACCAAAACATCATCTAATGCATAATCTTCATCTCAGAAACCAATATTTCCACAACCGGCCACTTGCCCTGTCTATCACCCTCCCTACATCCCAATACCACGTTATTCCTCTATTCTAGCAATCAGTTTCTTCATATATCCAGCCTTCATTCACCGCCAAATAACCATCACCAGAATTCTAGTTCACCTTTTCACCTTCATAAACCACATTACCACCAGCCTTTCAGAATCACACCACCATCACCATCTCACAACCTACGCTTCCACCACCAAATCAACATTATACCATCACCTTGCCATAGTGACAGGGATGGGTTGGTAGTGGTCGAATAGGAGGCGGAGCTCTGGCAACTTTTGTGAACGGACAAAAGAATGAATGATGATTGAGTTTCTAATCCATAAATAGGTAATTATCTAGTTTCCTAATTATCCATTTGCATCATTCTAGATTACCCTAATAGGGTATCAAAATCGTCCAAGCAAGGAGGTTTCTAGAATCTCTCGCTTACTCAACTATTGAACAATTATAAAGCAACCCTTGTAAAATTAATTAAATCCAGTTGATCCCAAATTAATTCTAATCAATTATTAATTAATTCTAATTAATTTCAAACCAATTATTTAACTATCGATCTCATGTTAATTTATTAATAGTAAATTAACATATCAGTTATCTATTTCCAATTAATATATTAATCATATAATATATTATCAAATCATTTATATCTCTTTATCCTAATATCATTTCTAGCTATTTCTGGTTATGAGGGCAACCCAAAAGGACTTTGCTAATTATTCAAGATTATACTAATTTAGTTATTGGCTTAGACACCTAATCCAACATGTATGTGGGGTAAAATAGACCTGTTCGGTTAAAAAACACTGATTGAGTCAGAAGGGACTCTGGGGTGAAATAGACCCGGGGGTGAAATAGACTCGTTCGGTGGAAAAACATCAATTGAGTCGGAAGGGACTGTAGGGTGAAATAGACTCGTTCGGTTGAAAAATATTGATTGAGTCGGAAGGGACTCAGGGGTGAAATAGACTTGGGGGGAAATGGACCTGTTATAGCCTTGCGTTGATATTTATGTATGGTATGTAGTATTTTGTGGAACTCACTTGAGTTGTGTTTACGGTTTTTACATTTAAATGTTTTCAGGTACTTTTGGTTCAAGGGGAAGAGCTCGACGTGATTGCATTTCTTCCACTAGAGATTCCACATTTTAGTTTTATGATATTGTGATGTTGGTTTGAAACTACTTTTAATAATAGAACAAATTACTGAAATCGTCCCTGTGGTTTGGTTAAAATTGTGCGTTTGTCCCTAACTTTTATTTTGCACTTGGACCATCCCTATAGTTTCTTTTTGTTACGTTTTTCGTCCCTACTAGCCATAAAAAGACTATTATACCCTTACTATTTTTTATTTATATTTAAAAAACTTTTAAAGATTATTAAAAGTATTTTATAGATTGTTAAAAAGGTTGGGCTCCACACGTCCCCACCACCCCCTGTCTACCCATTCCCCTCTGTAACTTGAAGATATCGATCGTAGTTCAAGGCTTCAAGATATACCTCTCTCCCTCTGAACCCCACCTTAAATCAACGATCTTCACCTCAACTCCCCATCGGAGCCTTTTCCTCCCGAAAGTCGCAGCCTCCATCAGCCATCATGTGAACAGCTCCTCCAGATGACTGTAACCCTAATGCCTGAAACTTGCAACTGTAAAGATGCTGGAAATCTGCAACCCTAACGCCTCCGGAAACCTGCAACTGTAAAGCCACCGAAAACCTGTAACTCCATTATTTTTCTCCGCCTTCGCACGTTCCCGTCTAATCCAATTTCTTCTTGTTCCGCTGACCTCGTGGATTTCACCTGGAAAAATCGATTTCATCATCTGGAAAATTGGTCTTTGATTTATGGGATATCTGGTGAGGTGTTTCATTTTCAGATTAATCCCAATGTGTTTATTCCGGCGACGTCATCGATTTCAAATACAAGAATTTGACTCCATTTGTTTTTCGATTTGATTTGGGATTTTATCACCGATTTTAGGTTAGGTTTACATTTAGGTTATGATTTTCGGATTTGATTTTGATTTCCGTTTATGTTCTGATTTTACGGTTTCAGGATTTGACTTTGGCTAGGTTTTAATTTCAGAATTTGATCTTTGTTTTGTTTTGATTTATGTGTTTTGATCATGGTTTTGGTTTGATTTTGATTTGGTCAAGGTGATGATCAATTGTGGTTGCAGGAAGTGAATGCTAGTTATTGTCGGAGGTGAACATGGTGGTTGTTGGATGTAAATGGGGTGTCACCTGATGAAATCGATGATGTGGGCGGACTGAATAGGCGGGTGGTGGTGTTGCCGGAATAGGTGGGTGGTGGTGTTGGTTATCGGAGGTGATGGGTGAGGGGTTGGCAGTTGGTGGCTAGTGGTCATCGGTGGTGTTTTCTGGTAGCTGGTGGGTTTTTTATGGTAGTAGGTGGTGGTGATGGTGATGGTGATGGTGGGACCTACTATATTAATACATCTTTTAATAATTAATAAATAATATCAAAAAAGTAAAAAAAAAAGTGAAAAAATAAATATAAAGGGTATTATAGTCTTTTTATGTTTACGAGGGACCAACAACGCAACAAAATCAAACAGTAAGGATGGTCCGAATGCAAAATAAAAGTTAGGGACAAACGCGCAATTTTAACCAAACCACAGGGACGATTTCAGTAATTTGTTCTTAATAATATGATGATATTTTATGAAATGATATTTTGATGGTTTTGTTTGATTTTAAACTGAAAATTTTACTCGGCATTTTAGGTATGTTACATTTAAGTCCTTACTTTAAGTCTTTATCCCATGGGTCTTACCACTTTAAGAATCATGTTTTATCAAATCAACTATAAATGCTTTCTAAGAACATAGTTTGTTGAATAAATTGATCAAAAGCAAGTGTTCTTTTATGGTCTCCTTGGATATTTTATAAAAAGAAGAGCTAGTTTTTCTATAAAAACTTTTCTAATTTTTATAACTTATAAAACAAATAAGTCCATATAAGACAAAAAACCCTTTTGGTCTAAGAAGATGAACATGACATAACAAATCATACCTTATGATATATTATGATATATTTTGATACTTAAAATTAAAAATTGAAATAAATAATTTACAATTAACTACAATATATATATATATATATATATATATATATATATATATATATATATATATATATGTATATCAGGAATCAAATTCTTATAAACAATATATTTGCATCAAGTTGTTAGTATGACCATTTAGGATCATATATTAGTTAGCAATATAATTTTATAATGACTCTTGTGCATATAGATCTTTCAGGTGGCGGGAAAAAATGAACGGACGGCGCTGCATCATTATTTATGATTATAACTCTCTCGTCGTACGTGTACACTGGAGCCCTAGAGCGGCAAACAAGGAATATATGGTTGAAGTTGAATCTCAATCTCTCTATTTTTTTCGGAATCTCAATGAAACCTACTTATATATATATATATATATATATATATATATATATATATATATATATATATATATATATATATATATGATATTTTCATATTATTCATATATTTAGGCATTATTTTAATATATTTAAGCTATATTTTGGAAAAATGCAAAGATATTTGGTACTTATAATGTGAAATTGTATTTTGCAGGCAAAAAGGGACATTCTCAAGAAAAAGGAGTTGAAATTTACAAGAGTTGGATACTTGGAAGAGTGGAGCTGAAACTAGGAGAAGAAGGATGAAGAAAACTGTAACATCCATAAATTCAAGCCAATTTAGAAAATTTTAAATCATTTAAAACCATTCAGTTATTACAATTTGTTTTTAAAATAGTTTAAACATCAGAGTTCCCAGAAATCAAAATATCAATCGAGGAAGTGTACGGTCATGCCTTCGCCTTCCCGCGGTCATCCGCTGAACCTGAAACAATAAACTGAAACTATAAGCTCGAAGGCTTAGTGAGTTACCCCCAAAATACCAACGTCATATCGATATAACCATAACATATAACATATAAGTAAACAGAACAACCATGCATCTCGAGTCTACAATGTGACTGGTCCGCCCGCACCGGGCCTTCAGTCCACCTGGTCCACTCTTAGAGTCTACAGTATGCATAATGAGCATTCAGCCTGACTGGACCCCCTCGCAGGCCTTCAGTCTATGTGGACCGCTCTCCGAGCCTTCGGCACATCTGGACCGCCTCACAAGGCCTTCAGCCTATCCAGACCGCTCGCTGGGCCTTCGGCCTGACTATATGCCCTCCTGGGCTTGCAGTCTATCCGGTCCGCCCTGGGTATGTTGGCCTACAGCACGAAGCAGGACCCGCCTCAACCCAACCCCCATACCAATTAAACAATCATGTGCACATAAATATCATACGCTAGCATGTATATAACAGATAATCATACCGAACTGACAGATTACTAACACAACAACCATCCTATAACCAGGATACCGACCTAACCGGTCACTAACATAACCTCGTCCTATATATATACCAGGATACCGACCTAATCAAGTCACTATGCATAACACCATCCTAACTACCAGGATGTAAATCAATAAAAGCATATCATGCAATGAAACCGGATACAAATCCGATAAGGGTCGGCATTGGTGCCTTATACCCTGTTGATACAGTGAGGATAACTCACCTTGAAATGCCGAACTGAACCACGAAAACGCGCTCCTGAAACACTGCCCCAAACTCCAACACCTATAACCACCAATGATCCAAACTCATAAATTTCCAACTTCCCAAAATGCCCCAGAAGTCAAATAGACAACCCTTGGCCAAAGTCAAAGTCAAAGATCAAGGTCAACAATCCATGTTGACCCGACTCGTCGAGTGCAGTCACTGACTCATCGAGTCCTTCCAGAACTCGAGTAGTCGTGAAAACCCCCCACTGACTCGTCGAGTTTCCTGCAACTCGCCGAGTTCCAGCGTGTCCAAACTTTGGGAAAACCCAAGTTGACTCGCCGAGTCACCCCACTGACTCGTCGAGTCCATGCAGAAGTCCTTGCACGACAATCTTCATCGGACTCGCCGAGTTTACCATGCAACTCGTCGAGTCCCTTCAGTCCACTATCCATTCAGATGCTTTTTAAGCCACTTTAAGGTTCCAAACTGCAGATCCAGCTTCCCAAGGCATGTTTATCACGTAAAGTTGCAAACTTTACGTGCATGCAAGGCTCTAAAGTCTTATAATGTCAAAACCAAGCTTGAAATGGAGTTCCACACTTAAGGAGAGGTCCATACTTGCTAAAGCTGAGAGCTTTATGGACTTAGAGTAATGATGAATCCTAATATTATGTGTTAGTTTCTCACTTTCTCTTTTTATGGATTTTATGAAGTTGCACTAGCTTGTGTTTGATATATCAAAGCCTAGTATGTTAATAGTTTCGATCTTTGTTACTTAAATTCCAAGTTTAGTGTAGTTGAATGATCACTTTAATTGCATGAACCTGTTTACCTAGTTGTTTATGAATCTTAAATTGCTAAAGCTAGAGATCGGCCAAATCCTATATTAGGTAATAAAAATTGTTGTCTTAACTGTGCTAGAGAACATAATTAGATCATAATTTGTTTTGGTTATTTGTCTACATTATAGATAATTAATCTTAGAATTATCATTCATAGCCCAACAATATTAATAATCAATTTAGTGTCTACTTGTGTAAGACTATTGCATAGTAATTCATGAATTGATGAAAAACATTAGGAGATCGGACCAAGACTTCTAATTACATTTATATTGGTAACCAACTGAACTAATCCATGTGTAGAAACTATCCAATGGAAAAAGGGTGATTCAAAGCTAAATGTAAGTGTCTTATTATCTTGATTTACAATCATCTTTAATTGTTTGCTTTGTTTCTAGTAATTGATTTAAGTTAATCTGAACTTGCAAAATCAGATAGAAACCCCATATGTTAGTTGTTTTTTTCTTAGTTTTACTTTTAGTAGTTATTTTAGCTAAAAATTGTTCCCTGTGTTCGACACCTGGCTTACCTAAACTATTCTATAATTCGACTAGGTACCCTGCCTAAGTGCGATTTAGCTAGTTAAGTTCGTTATGTTTATAAATTAAAAGCTAGTAGGTATATCTTTGCACATCAATATATATATATATATATATATATATATATATATATATATATATATGTAACATCCCAAAATTTAAGGCCAAAAATTTCATTTTAATTAAGTTAATATAAAAACTGATAGTATAAAACATCCATAGTGTCATCCCATATCAAAACCAATATGTCAATAATCAAAACATGTCATAATGAAACATTATCAGAGTATACTCCCAAAGATCTCATGTGCTAAAAACATAGTGTGATGCGCTGCTATCATGCCGACTCCTTTCCTTTTGAAGAAGAAGTACCTGAAACCAAAACTGAAAATCATAAGAACGAAGCTTAGTGAGTTCCCCCATCATACCACATATCATATAATAAACATACTGTCAGGCATATCTAGGTGCCCGGCCTACCCTGCTGAGCATATATGGGTGCTCAACCTATAAATGTTAGGCATACCGGGGTGCCCGACCTACCCATGTCAGGCATATCTGGGTGCTCGACTGTAACGCCCTGTTCCCAATCGCTTTTGTAATTCGGGATTATGGCCTGAAGATAGGTTATCATAAGGCTTAGGGCCTTTGGAAAAGAGAGATCTAAACCCGTTTGGGTACAAATAATGTATTGGAGGTAATATGGGAGTTTGGGTTGTGCATTGGAGCCAAGGGGCATATCGGTAAAGTGGCAGTTTGAGCTCTTTATGAATTTTGGATTTTTGTTCGGAAGGTTTTGAGGTGAGGATGAGTTGATAGATGTGTAGAGCTTCCCGCCACATTTTAGTGGATATAAAGAACGTCAAAAACGGAGTTGAAACGAAGAAGTTATGGCCGTTTGAAGTTTGAGTAGTTCGGGTGAGTGATCGTTGACTTGTTGACCAAGTTCATTTAAGGCTCACGACGTGAGCATGAAGGGCTCACGACGTGAGGAGCGTCTAATGCACTAAAACCCTAATTTTCGGGTATTTAAAGGTATGAGATGATTAGGGTTGCTCCTCCTCAGCCTCTTTCACTCCCAAGACCACTGGAAACCCTAATCTCAACCCCTATTGAAGTTCTTGGCCATTTTGGTGTTATTCAAGAGATTTTGGAGGCTTTGAAGCTCATTAAGGAGAAGAATATCATTGGTGGTGCATTGGTTAGCTTCTGGGTTTCATCATCAGCTAGTTTAGGAGCTTTTGGACCCTTGTAAGTCCTCAAGTTCATGCCTTTCTTTTCCTTGCTTGCTAGATCTAAGTTTCCATGCATTTATGGCTTGTAATGTTGGCTAGCATGCATGGAGTCCATAAAGTTGGCGACTTTATGGATTATGATGGCATCTTAAGTCTTATATGTTCTAGATCTGGATTTTGGTCATGGTTTTGGACTCCAAGTTTGAGTCTTGGCCCTTTTTCCTTCATATATTGGACATATGTGACTGAAAAGCTTCGATTTGTATGGTCCTTGGGGTCAAGGAAGACCCTCTAGACTTTCCCATGTTAAGGCTTAATGGATTAGGAGCTTAATGCTTATTTTTTGTCAGATCTGGACTCACGACGTGAGGAATGAAGCCTCACAACGTGAGCACATAGTCGGGGAAGTTTCTGGTCTGAAACCACGACCTCACGACGTGAGCATGAAGAGCTCACGACGTGAGCAACCCCTGTGCATGTTTTGAACTATTTGATTGTGGGATAGCTTGGTATTGGACTTGTCTTTTAGTTTGGGCTCATAATGGACTAAGGATTTTAGAGTAATGGACTTCTGGTTGGGCTTGCCTTGCTGGGTTTGCCCTAATGGGCCTTGGATGATGAATTGGGCCTTAGTGGGCCCAATTTGGAAAAATCATTGATTCAGAGAAGTAAATGGGCTTTAGGGAAAGGCCTATGTAAGGGTTTGGGCCCAATTTTGAAAATTAGGTCATTGATGGGTTTTTATGGATTATATAGTTTTGGGCCTTAGTTATAGTCTTGTTGGGCCAGGGGTAAAATGGTCATTTTACCCTAAGATTTGGATTATGGTGTTGGATTAATGTCTAAGTCCATAACTATAATTGGTAAGACTTGACCCGACCCGGCATGGTCCATTTGGGTTGCATGGCATCATGCATTTGGATAGACTATAATGAGAGAAATAACACTTAAGGTTGGTTAATATATTATAAGTTCTAATATATTAATAAGGTTATTTAATTAGTATTGATCAAGAATTAATTTGGAATTAATTAAGTGATCAAAAGGAGACTAATTAAATATATGGGTTGATTGTGTAAATCATTCATTCTTATATATGTGGGCATGTGATCCAAGATTCCTTATGTTGGACTAAGTCCATGGGGTGACCCATGGATACTCCATGGAGGTTAAAATCCATGGAGCATAAGGAATGGGTAAAGTTATGAGTTACATGGTGTAACCCTAATAGCCACCATATAAAAGAATCCCATGGCTCAAGAAATCGTGCACTAATGTGTGAGTGTGAGGGCTAGACGATTTCAAGGAGTGTTCAAGTTTCTCTCAAGTTATTCCAAGTGTATTTGGTGTTGTGTGAACCATTTGAGGTGTCACACTTGGGGCACTAGGTACTCAAGCTTCATGAAGACATTCTACATCAAAGAGGTATGTATTCTATCTTGTTATATTTATTATTTTGTATGCTAGATTAGGATAATACCTTGGATGTTCATAATTGTATGTATAATAGAGAAAACATAGATCCAAGGTATTTAGGGTTGCATGTACACTTAGGAGTGTTAGAATGCTCATAACCCAACAGTGGTATCAGAGACTAGGCTTGTTTTCTTGTATACTTGCAAAAGTAGCTGAAAAATCGAGTTGGATGCATATATTCGATTGTTTTGGCTGGAATTGGACTAGGAACATTACCCTAAGATGTTTTTGGACTTATAAACTTGTTTTTGATGTGGTAATGTTCATGCTAATCCAATTTCTAAGATAATTGTCATAATTTCAAGATTTGTATTAGTTTGTATGTTCATGCTAATTTCTTGAAGATTGATGATTTGAATTATCTTGTTCTTATGAGGTTCTTAGATTAATAGAAAAGTTGTGTGAAATAGTTGTTTTCAATCCATTTTAATCTAAGAGTTGATTCCAAAGTGTGTTTTTGTAACTTGTCCTCAAGTTATATGAAAAGTCACATTTAAGAATCATAAAACTCATAAAAGTTGGCAAAGGTTACAAAATGAAGAGTCCAGTTCTAATTAAATTGTTTTATGACTCCATAACTTGTCCTCAAGTTATGGAGGTTCAAGAGTCTCTTCATTAAATTAAAAAAAAAGGTGTAACCTTAATTAGTTCCATAAGTTACAATAAAAAAAAAGTTATTTTTTTTTATTAATTAGTTTAAAGTCTTCCATAACTTGTCCTCAAGTTATGGAACTTTGAACGCCTGTGCTCGGAAATTTGAACGCAACCACCCACCTGGTGGTGCACGGTGACGACAACAACACGGAATGGCGAGCAACAGTGGCGCTTACGGCGACAGTGGGACAACCGGAGCAGTGAACCGAGTAGCAGCCGGAGGAATCGATGTCGTTGACGGCCGCATGGGCGGCGACGGACGTCGGCTAAAGCAGCGGCCATGTTCTCCGATTTCCAAACTAGTCTCGAGTCGCCCTTGATCTCGCCGGAACAAGGCCAACAGCGGCATCAACAAAGCGGGGGCTTGTTCGACGGCGGCTTCGTCTTCAACGGCGACATTAATGCAACAGTGGGAGGAAGGTGGTGCGACTTCAACCGAGAATAGCGGCGGCTGCACCACAGGTTCGTTTCTCTGGCAGTAGGATGGTCGTGGTGGTGGATTCGGTGGTTTGCGACCTCAACAGCGGTGGTGGTGTGGCGCCGGAAGTCGTATAAGTGAAGGTGACGGCCGGATGTGAAGGGAGATATAAGGTGGCGGTTGAAAAAAAACTTCCTAGGGTTAGGGTTATGGGAAAGTGACGGGTTTATATGCTCCCGTCTATTTTCAAAGTTTAGCCCATATTAACATTTTCAGTCCCTCTTCCTCTCATTCTTTTCAAATAAGGTCCATAAATTACCATTCAGCCCCTTAACCTCCAAAATCTATTCAATATAAGTCCAAATGATACCAAACACCCCCTAACTTCTGAAAATCTTTACAAAATAAATCCCGGAATTACACTTGAACCCCCAAAAATCCAAATTATATTATTTGGCTTCCCAAAACCAACACCCCGCTAAATATTATGGAGGATTTTAAGACTACTATTCATTTATTAATTTTATCTATTTATTTATTTAATAAACGGGTGTTACAATATATATATATATATATATATATATATATATATATATATATATATATATATATATATATATATCTTTTTATAAAAACTAAAAGTTAGTTTTATAAAATATATAAGACAACATGTGGGAAATAGAAGGAGTGTAAGACACTCTTCGCTCTCTCGGATATCAGTGGGTATTATGATTACTTGCACTTAGCATATTACCAAAATGGGTAAGGAACTTTGGTTTTTGTCCATATTTATATAACCATGTTTTGTTTTTTGTACACATTTAACTAGTAAACTTGTTTGACTTGTTTATAATAGGGTAATATCACCGTAATTACCGGTCATATTACCCTATTTTGAACAAGTCAAACAAATTCAATGGTTAAATGTGTACGAAAAAAACTTGGTTACCTAAATGGGGACAAAAACTAAAGTTTGTTACCTTTCTAGGTCATTAACCCTACCTACTTTTTAAGATATTTTATACTATCTTTCATGAAGCATGGCAATAGATTTTATTTACACATGAATATATATCATGAACATAAGCTCTTTTATCTTGAAAACAGGTTTCGACTTGCATCCTTGTTTTCACAAAAAAACACTACTCTGGTCTGGGCCAAAGTTACTAGCTTCCTTGAACTTAATTACAACCATAAGTTATGGTGACACCCCATTTTTTCACCCCAAATTTTATCCAATCTAAACTTTAGACATACTTGTTTTAATATATATGTTTTAAAATGGTCACCATGACAAAAGCCTAATTGTTGATATGTAAAATTTCATAAAAGATGTTCAAAGTTCAAATCTTACACGCCCATAATCAGTGTTATGTGATTTTATCCCAGGAGATGGTTCTACATGGGCCACCCAAAGGGGGGCGGACTACCAATTTTTTTATGTTTTAAAACGATAGACAAAGTTCCGGCTCTTGTTATATTTTTAAACCAATGTTGTTCTGTGAAGAAAACAAGTTCCTTACCCAAATTTACCACTAACCCTAAAATATAATATATAAGAAAGAACGTAGCTACCGTACTATTTAACTTGGTTTGCAAACAAATTTAGAAGAAAAAAACTACACATTAGTGTATACTTATCCAAACTTTTTTGTAATAAGATGCCGAAATAGTCTTTTGTGAGCAACATTTTTACTTTAAAAACCCTACTACTGGGTGCATCACAAATATGTTTCGTTAACAAGTTCATCTAAGACATCTTTTTTAACGAGATATCAAAATAGCTAACAAAATATAATACACATGGAGATTATCTTTTCCTTTCCTACCTTCTCTTTTTCCTTCCGCGAGTCTGCAACACAAATCCACACTCATAAATATGTAATTATGTGAAGAAAAAAAATATCAAAATTTTCAGATCTAAAAATAAGAATATTAGACAGAAAGCCACCTGTTTGGCAGGAACCTCATGAATAGATGTAGAGGTGGGTTCTGATTGATTGGGTGTACCCACCGGAATCAAAGTGCCATCAACCTAATGGACGCATGTAATCGAAATTAATTAAAACTAAAAACAGAGCATCTTTTAGTCCCTGCTTATTATGCAGGACATGTCAGAACAGTACAACTTGTACCGTGTGTTTGACATGCATTGGACCAAGCACTCAGACTGATGTGAATGAGACAAAAATTGCAACTTTTTGTCCTGCCCAAAAAGGTAGAAGAAGGTGGGTCAGGACTTGCTCTCAATTTCTCATTTGTGCAAATGACGTAAATACCCTTATCATCAAAGATAGCCCTAGAAAGCTTGTCTAGTCCCGTCATGTCCCCTACAACAAAAGCAGCCGTAGGCTGCATTTGTTAAGTGCTCATAATATGACGGGACAGGATAAGCTTTCAAGGGATAATTTTGATGATAAGGGCATTTACGTCATTTGCACAAATGAGAGATCGAGAGCAAGTCCTGACCCACCTTGTTCTACCTTTTTGGGTAGGACAAAAAGTTGCAATTTTTGTCTCATTCACATCAGTCGGAGTGCTTAGTCCAACACAGTACAAGTATAAAACCAACCAACGGATGGGAAACTTACGGTATTGGGGATGTTTTGAGGAGGGGAAGCCTTGTGCAAGGTAGACATCATTGAGAGCATTTGAGACATCTGAGCAGACATCTGTGAGCATGTTTGTTCGAGTGATGCAAGTTTGTCCTTCATTTGAAGAACTTCGGCATTCTTTTCCGCAACCATATTCAACGCCTCAACACGCGTAGAAACTTCAGGGCCGGGACGAGAAGGGGTAGTGGCATTTAGTCCGTACAAGGAGACACCGCCTTTTCTATCCACCCCCATTACCCGCTCATACACATCATCTTTTATTTCATTCTTGTTACCATCTGTCTCTCGTAGTTGTGACTGAAATCAACATCCATTTAATTAACACATAAAATAATAATTTTAAAAAGAGTAAGTTACACGAATGGTCCCTATGGTTTGGGGTAATTTGCACGTCTGGTCCCTAACTTATTTTTTTAACTCGGAAGGTCCCTACAGTTTGTTTTTGTTGCGCGCTTGGTCCATGTCTTACCTAAAAAGACTATTTTGCCCTTGATTTTTTAATTTATTTAAATAAGATGGGGTAGGTAAGGTAAGGTGAAGTGAGGTGGAAGTGGGGTTGGGGGTATGTTTATTTTAAAATCAAGGGCAAAATAGTCTTTTTAGGTAAGACAGGGACCAAGCGTGCAACAAAAACAAACATTAGGGGACCTTCCGAGTTAAAAAAATAAGTTAAGGACCAAACGTGCAAATTACCCCAAACCATAGGGACCATTCATGTAATTTACTCTTTTAAAAATAATAAATACATATTCGCGTAACATGATTCTTACAATCACAGCAGCTGTGGCTTCATTGACCGGCTGACCATTTTTTCTTGTACGGGTCAAGATAAATAGTTCTGCCCGTGATGGTTCCTGCCCGTCAGTCCTTTTTGCCCTCTGTCATAATTAAAAAGGGTATATCGGTCATTATGAAGGTATCTATATTCTATAAAATAAAGAGAATTACAATGTTGTTAGTTACCTCCTCTTCACGTATTCTAGCAAAGCTTTTTTTTGCCCGAGGTGTGACTAAACTTATGCCTAGCACGATTGGCCTTATTTTTCGCACTGATACGCTGAAACATTGCAGAAATTTATAAATTTTTTTTTCAATTTAACAAATGAAATTTATAAAAATGTGAGAGACAGAACACAAACCTGCCATTTTTCAGAGCTCCATTGAGAAACAAGAACTGCCCACTGATCAGGAAGGACCCTGTCATCACAATCTGCAAGGCGTTCTTCATCGGTTGAATGTATGTCATAATGAGTAGTCTTGAGAAGAGACTTAAAGTTTCTCCATTTAGTTCCAAGTGACATCAGCACCCAACTTCTACTACTAGGGTCAATATCAAATTTCATCTGTAACATATACATGAAATATATTATTGGACATGACCAAAAGAATATAAAAAAAGCTGGTCACATGTTCTCTTTATTCTATGACATTAATGATTCAAAAAATAAAAATCCATACCAAAACTTTCTGCCACATGTTCTCCTTATTCTCTTCTGGCACTTTGCTCCAACTAGGATAAATCAAGGGAGCCAAGTTTCCATCACGTGCTGTGAGACCTAAAAAGCTGGTCAACTGTGATGCCTCTGACCCCACGGGCTGCCCGAGTTCATTGGTCAGGACTTTTATCCGCCCGACCGTATTCAACAATCTAACACAACGTGTGGGCCCACGACCTTGGCGTTTCTTTTGAATACTTCTAGAATCTTTTTTCAGACAATTATGGTTAGTAAAGTTCTTTTTTTTTTTTTGGTAAAAGATTATAATAGTAGATTGTTAAAAAAAGGAGTTACCAATGTTAGGCTCATCTTGTTCAGGGGAGGATTGTGGGAGGTTGTTAGAGCTCTGTTGGGGTTGAACAGGGTGCTGCATGTTGATTGGCTCGGGTTGATTTTGTAGTATTTGGTTAGAACCAGAGGCGTTTTGGTTGGACAAATTGTTGGTGAGTGGGACAAGTGGGAAGTCTTTTCCTTGTTTCTTGTGCCTTGAGATAGAAGACTCTGTAAAGGAAAGGACAAAATGGTCAAAAACATTTCCAATTGAACAATAAAAGTTTCAAACTTTTGTCCAAATTAACCATTTTGACCCGATAATACAAGATCCAAATGGTTAATTTGGAAGAATGTCTGAAATTTGTATGGTTTGATTGGAAAACTTTTAGTGGTTAAACCGTAAAACTGCCAAAATATAATGATTTTTTTTCTTCATAATATACCCTTCTAAATATGTATCGATTCCAATTTATATGGCGGAGGGAGAATTTAATTCATGTGTACAGTTTGTCAAATTGGAAAAATATAACTAAGAAGCAGTGAGCATATATCCATACCTGCAACACCAGAATTTGCATTTGTGAATCCTGGGACATGATATTGCTCATTAGAGCTCAATCCAGGCCTATTCTCTTTGGATGAGGGTGGAATGGATTGTACTTGGGTTAACCTTTTACCAGCAATAGGAGTAACAGGGCTCACTGAATGCCCCTCGTTATGCATATTGTGTTGAACTGCAGGTTCTAATAAAAAATTGCTTTTATTAAAAATATACAGCATAAAAAGATAATAAAACTAATTACAACACATATGGGGTGCTTACTAACAAAAGTTGGTGATTGTTCACAGTGTAGTCCAGCTGCTATCCAGTACTTTGTAAAGAATGTCTTTACCCGCTTCATGAGCTCCAAAATATGATCACCCTTCTTATTATATTTCACACAATTATACCAAATATATTCTACATCTTTAAACACGTCTCCTGAATTCATGTACTTGAGACCATTCTCAAGGTTGTTGCATATTGTACCAAAATCCATTGGTGTATCGATAACATCAAAGTAATCCTGGTTCAACAAAAGCACATGTTTTTAGAATGTAAAAAAAAAAAAATGCTAAATTACACATAAGCAAGAAGCTTACAGGTATTTCAAGTGCAACAGGATCTACAGGTCTGTTAAATGGATCAGCTGCATCCAACTTCATTGTCTTTTTGATAACCTAAGATAGAAAAAGGGCAATCTATAAGTGTAAAGCAAGGATGTATAATTACAAAAGATGGTCAATGTAAATTATACTGATAGGGCAGTATCCAATTCTTGCTGCTTGTATTCTGGATTTTGATGTAGTTTGCTGTTGTTTTCATCAATATCCATGTCAGCATGAGGTTGCTCCATTTGTTCATTGCTGATTGAGTTCTCAGCCAAGGTTTTTGTCAGGTTAGCTAGTCCACCAGCTTCCTTAGACATGTCTTTGATAATGGATGCAATCATTTTGCGCAATTCATTTGGATGATTCTGCATTCTCCCATAAACAGCTTTTTCTATCTCTAAATCTGCTTGTCTGCTACCAGTTCTTGGAGTTTCAGTTTCCATATGCACAGAGGTGAAATTTTTCTCTGTTTTCTCATCAGATAAATATTTTCCAACAGGTTGAAAATTCATGCTGGTTTCAGGTACTTCTGGTTCATCATTTTCTGCTACTAGAGTAGCATCAATTTGCACTGTCTTCTTCGCCAATGGAGTTTTAGCTTTGCGCTGCCCATATGCACGTTTCCGCTTCATTGTAATGTGCCTGGCGATGAAACCAACAAAAGCGACAAAAAACTGATCAGATAGTTTGCAACATGCTAATCAACGAATCAACACAGGTAACAAGCTACAGAATTACTATTACAAACTCTTAATTTTTGGTTAATTCGTTGATCTTAGTCATCCACTCCAAACTCCATGTCTATGTCTAGTACCCGAAATGCTCGATTTTCTAGGATTTAAAACTTTGTAGATCAACTTGGAATAACATGTACATACAGAAATGTAGCTGACTATCAAAATCATACAAATTTGTTCCAAATTTTGCGACGTCTACTGATTGTTATCTTGTGTTGGAAAGTAAACACAAAAAACTTAACAAATGGATGGAACAGAGATATAAACAATCGATAAAGCTATAATTGAGTATAGATAATCATAAACCTTAGTCGATTGAAAGCGTTAGAAGTAGATGATGAAGTGTTTACCTGTTGCTAGGGTTTTCTCGGCGACTTGGAGAAGATGTCAAGAAATGAAATAATGAGTTGGATTTTGGCTCGAGCCCCCTTTGGTGACGCCTTACAAACTACTCCCCTCCCGTCCCATATACCGATTATTGTTTTATGTATTTTCATGTAATCAGCAAAATAGAACAAGTATTATTTTCGTGTGTTATTCGGATATTTTGTTTTTCTTTTTTATCAATATAATTTTTTTTGAAAGTGTGTATCCAGTATTTTATTATTAGGGGCGGTTGTAATGTCCCAGAAATAATAACATAAAATTTTTGTTTTTAGATTAATAAATCGTCAATACATATCATTCTCATAAACCAGGGTAATCAACATTTATCAAAACATTATCAAATCAGAGTAAATCACATAATGTGCGTATGTGCTTTGCAATCATCCCAAGCTCTTCCATTTGAAAATCGAAGTATCTGAAACATAAACTGAAAACCGTAAGCATAAAGCTTAGTGGGTTCCCCCACCATACAACATACTAAAACAACATACTGCCACGAACATTTGGGTGCGCAGCCTACCCCTTCGGTCTATTTCGACCGGATGGTGTCGAGCATATCTGAGTTGCCCCTTCGGTCTCTTCCAACCGGATACTGCCAGGCATATCTGGGTGCCTGACCTACCCCTGTCAGGCATATCTGGGTGTCTGACCTACCCCTTCGGTCTATTTCAACCGGATATCGGGTCTATTTCACCACCTACCACTACCACATAATATCATAAGCAAATAATCACATAAACATCAACAAACACTGGCATACCAGACAATTATCACAAAGACAATCATCTTACTATAAACATCAACTAGTGGGCCGACATTGATGCCTTCGACCCACAAATACAGTGAAGGTAACTCACCTCGATCCATTGCTAATCAGATAACACTTGGCTGCCGAACCGGAAATCCCACACTAACAACAAATAAATTCCAATTAATAATTATGTCATAATCCAATAACCGTGGTCTCAACTCATAAGTCCCGACTCTTAGGGTAAAAGACAATTTTACCCTTTCCTTAATGGGCCCAACCCAAACTTGGCCCAAGGCCCACTAATGGCCCAACAACACAACTCGAGGCCCAAACCAACCTAAGGCCAACTCAAGGTCTTGAGGCCCAACCAGAGCCCAAACAAATAATTCATAACCCAAAGAAACAGCCCATCCTAACCGAAGCCCAAATTACCGAACCCAAACCCCAAATCGAGGCTTACTTCTTGTTTTACACACTCGAGGGTAAAATACCATTTTAAGTTCAAACTCTTACCACTTCATTTTAATATATAAATTCTTGGCATATGATAAAACGCTGTCTCATATAAATTAGTGCTTGAAGATAAATTTCATCTCTAATAAAATTATATGTCACACCATTTGCAAGACTCGATAAATGTATTTAAATTGATTTTAATAAAATTATACTTACTGTCTAATTAAAAATGGGTACCAATCTTGAACCAATAAACTTTAGCCCAAGATAGAAAATAGCCCACGCTAGTTAACCCAATAATATTATACCATTTAATTTAGCCCAAATACCATTTGTAAGCCCACCGCATCAAGCCCTGATTCTAAATGAAGACCATCAAAGTCAAAATTAGTCAAAGGTCTTATACCTTTATTTTCGTTTCTAGAAATCAGAAATAGCCACAGGACTTCCAAAATGAGGCGTTTCAAGAGTCCTAATGGTGACCTCCTTCAACGATGAAGTTCATCTTCTTAACCATTCTCCTTCTCGCAAAAAACATCCCATCGAATGCCTCCTTACTCTCCGTTAAAATCGCAAGCAAAACAGGAACAAAAAAGCACATAACTCTGGTATTTGTTTGAAATCTCCTCCTATCATTTTATGCCACTGTCCGGAGACCATCCACAGTGGGTCGTCCATCCCCTCAGTCGACTACGTTCGCTCGCGCATCCCTCTATCTCTTTGCTCACGCCATTAACCGATGTCATCGGAAACCATCGATAATCTCATCGGAAAACTTGATGGGATCGGAGTTCACACACACACACAAACACTCGACATGCCCTTACGATCCTCTTTCTCACTCTCCCCAAATCCCTAATGCCTTTAGATGCTAGCATTTAAATGGGTAAATATGGTAGAGATCAAATGCCTTTTAAAATGATCGGGTAATGCAAGCTATAAAACGGAAAAAGGCTTCACAGATTGCGTCGATGTAGAGGGGAAGAGGACAAACAAGATTTTGGAAATTGGCAGTTTTGATCCTCGACCTTTGGCGTATTGACAGGAATCACCCCCACTCTTGATTCTCTTAACATATATAGTTTCATGAATAACAATACAGACCCTGGACTTATAGAATCAAATTATTATTTATTAACCTTAATAATGTGCTTAATCAATCTTTTAATTTAGTAAGTCTCATTTTAATTAATCTAATTTATCTCCTTCCGTCTATAAATGTCTTTTACTCATTAACTCTACTTATTTTACCACACTAGTTATCCTTGAATGAAATTATTATTCGAATTATTTAGGAACCCTCGAAATAGCTAGACACAAAACAAGGTGTTACAACTCTCCCCCACTTAAATTAGATTTTGTCCTCGAAATCATTCCTTACCATCCTCGACATGCTAGACAACCTGAGCAACACGACCACAACCCCGAGCACACCACAACCTTCCCAAGGCAACCGAAACCAACCGTAGCAGGGCTCTCCAACCCGAAGATGAACGAATCCTTTTTCAACCTAAAATAACCCCTTGCAAAACAACCACGTCTACTCAACCTGAAATCTGGAGTCTTAAGATGGTCTGACTCCCTCATAGACTGCCCATACTGAACCATTGTTAAATCCATTCCGCTTATCCCCCAGCTGACTACTCATCTTCTTGCAACTTGAGGTTCCCACTAGAAAACAGGATCACATACAACTTATTGCTGCAGAACACTTTTACTTGATAGAAGGCTCAGATAATCCTTCGAGTAGAAGATTCTGTTGGATTAAGTGTCTAAGCCCATAACTATAATTGATATGTACTTGATTTGATAGTAGCATGGTTCTTTTGGGTTGCCTTCACTCTAGCAACTTGACAGGATGACTTTTGGAGAGAGATGTTGAATTTATTATTTGGAATAATGAATTGATTTATTAATGTATTATGAAAATAATATATTAATTAGAATTCATGTTATTTAATTAGTATTTAATCATAAATTAATTTGGAATTAATTTTGGGATTAAATGAATTGATTAAAGGAACAATGGTTGTTTTGAAAATCATTGATAGTTGTGAAACTAGGCTATTGGACTTCTTAGATGGGAGTGGATGAAAAATATAGGGAGACCCTATAGGTTTCGTCCAAGGCCTTTAGATGAGGAGTCAATGGGTTGCTTAAGCCTTAAGCAAGAAATTAGGGTTTCCACCAGAAAACCCTAGCAGCCCACAACTATATAAAGAACCCCACCACCTATGATTTTCGGCCAATGATTAGATTTTGTCCCCCACTTAAATTAGATTTTGTCCTCGAAATCATTCCTTACCATCCCCCGACACGCCAGACAACCTGAGCAACCTCGAGCACACCATAGCCTTCCAAAGGCAACCGAAACCAACCGTAGCAGGGCTCTCCAACCCGAAGATGAACGAATCCTTTTTCAACCTAAAATAAACCCTTGCAAAACAACCACGTCTACTTAACCTAAAATCTGGAGTCTTAAGATGGTCTGACTCCCTCATAGACTGCCCATACCGAACCATTGCTAAATCCATTCCGCTTATCCCCCAACTGACTACTCATCTTCTTGCAACTTGAGGTTCCCACTAGAAAACAGGATCACATACAACTTATTGCTGCAGAACACTTTTACTTGATAGAAGGCTCAAATAATCCTTCGAGTAGAAGATTATGTTGGATTAAGTGTCTAAGCCCATAACTGGTGGGATGTCAAGTCCACCAAGCAAATTACACCCTTTGGTTGCAAATAAAACATAATATAATGGTAAAAAAGGGTATCGATCCTCGGGGAAATGGTTGTATTCAACTACTAATGCAATCTATTAGAACTAGTGCAAATAAACTAACTAACTACAATTAAACTAAAGGGGGGGGGGTGTTATGATTGCTTGAAAACTAAAAGACTTGAATAACTAAAAAGCTTGCAATTAAACAAGATGGTGGGATGTTCAAATGTTGGGAACAATTGGTTAACCAAGGCAATTCAACACAATGAACATTTGTGTGTTTATCATTAGGATTCAATAAAAAGCTTATCATTCATCCCAAATTGGTTATAGCAATCATGAAGCATGATATGCCAAGATTCCTCATAGGTAGTATGGAGGTTGGGGAAGCCCACAACACACCTTCTTAATCAAAATCAAAGATCCAATTGAAGCAATTGAACCCAAGAAGTTAATTAGCCTTAAGAATGAAGGAATCCCCAATTCCTAGAGGATGTCAATGCTTACACATCCATAAAGGAGCTATGATTCATAAGCTAGAGATGATTTCTACCATCATAAAGCTCTTGTTCTAAGTAAATTCAATGATTCATTGCAAAACCAAAGAAATAAACCAACAATTGCTCATTCAAGTACCAAGCTCATGATCAAAGTATCAAATAAGCATAAGAAATAAGAACTAGAATCATAAACATGAGATAATTGATAATCAAACATGAATCCTTAAAAAACCCACAAACATTCAAATGTTTTAGCCAAAGTTAACCAAAATAGAGAGATTAGCCACTCATGGCAACAAAATAACAATCACAAAAGTCTAATTGCATAAAGAAACTACCAATGACTTGGAAAGATGAAAAGAAATGGGTTTCAAGCTCCAAAATCGCCTTCTTCAGCTCTCCAATGGTGTAAAATCGAAGTTATGGCTGCTAGATCTGATCCCCCAAGGTAATGGCAAGCCAAATGACCAAAATGCCAAAAACTGGGCAATTGCGCGGGTACCCGCGCGACGGAAATTCCACCCGTGCAAGTGCTGCTAGAATGCTATTGGCTCATTTTTCCTCCACTAACCATCCCACTACCAAAGATTCCCTTGGTCCCCTCCATATCCCACATGATTCAAATTAACCAATCATCTTTTTGCTTCAAATATGGATGCTCCAAGCCCAAATTAACAATCCATGATCCATCTTCACAAGCTCACTTCATCCAAGTCCTTTAACTCTTTAAGGCCCAAGTCTTCTTTTATGGATCCGCCAAGCCCAACAATGCCTCGAGAGTCCACTAAGTCCAACTCCAGTCAAACCACAACCGCAATGAGCTCCAAAACCCTGCAAAATTCCTCATGCAAAATAAAAAATCCCCGATACGATCCATGATAAAGAAAATAAAGAATATACAATGCAATACTAATAAAAAGAGCTAAAAATCTAAAATAAACTAATAAAAATAAGGAAATAAAATAAGCTATCAAATCACCCCAAGCTTAAACCTAACCTGTCCTCAAGTTAGAACAAGACTAAAATGAGCTCGAGATGAGCTAAACTAAAAAGGAAAAAGGAAAGATAGCATAGAACTTGGTTAACATCAATCAACATGGTCAGAATTAGTCCTTCATGGACCCTACGCATCTTCAAAATGTTCCCCGCTTTAGAGCCATAAACCAAATTCTCGACCACTAGATGGGCGAATAGATCACGGCTAGATGTAGTCGCGGTGTGCAAGACAAAGGAAACAGAGATGCGCCCAGTGGGGGGCACTTTAAATCACCAATGCAGATCATAATTCATGAAGGAAAGGCGCCTCTTCACACACGATGATTCTTATAGTTGTCAGGCTAAAGTGTATAATACGAAATAGGGTTTTGCAGCACGGCCTCCGGGCAAACATCCGGTTTCAGAGGCTTCTCCCTTGTACTGTCCTTTACAATTTACCGTCTCATCGTCAAGGCCTTTTCTCACCAAAAATCAAAAATAAAATAAAATAATAATAATTCTACTTAACCTAAATCTAAACTTAACAACTCAAATTTTCAATTTTGATCTTCTGTTATTTGGTCTTCAATCTCCTTGTTGCTTGACATTCAGCTTTCTCGTTTTTTTTTTGTTTTTTTTTTTTTTGCATGAAACTTGAACTTGGATTCTTGTTCTTATTTTTTTGTTACTATTTTTCTTCATTTTTCTTCTTTGTTTTTGCTGCTTTTCTTTAATCTTCTTCATTGTTTCTTTTTGTCTTCACTTTTCCAATTTCTTCATTTTTTTGTGTTTTCTTCTTAGAAGGTTTAAGGAATTTCACCACGTAACATAGGATGGAGGCTAACATGACCACCTAATGATCATTGACAATGTGCCAAGATCAACTAAAAAGGGTGGGATATGACTCAAAAATGGGTGTTACCGAAAAAAACTTGGTCCCAAAAGATGTGAATTGGGGGACCCACTTCAAAGTTCATCAAGCACCTCAATGCAAGGTGTGATAAACAAAATCTATCTAACTATCTATTCTAGACCCCTAAAAAATGATGACCTATCTTAAAAAGGTGGTGAGAATCTAGCTAAGTAAGGCTCGGACGAGACTCGGGAATACTAAGGGGTACTCCCCCCAAAACCAAGATGCGAGTCTTCAATATCTTTAATGTCTTCAAAATACCTTATCGGGATAATCTTTGCTCGCACACATTTGCATGACCAACCACATCCCTCCGCACCTAGACCCAATCAAACTACCTGCATCTGACCCCCACAAGCGGTCTCAAAGTGGTATGTGAGGCTCAAAACGTGTCCCATTTATCAAATACAAGGAATTCCATATCAAGACCAGGGACCAATCTATGATTCAATACTTATGACTCGACGCTATGGTACCTGTAGAGATA